CATTTGATTAAGCAAGTAAAAATTGTGACAGTGAAGGCGTGATAGGAGGATATAGGAAATGTGAATAGGCAAGGGCAGAAGGGGAGATACCATAACTGTTTAGCACACTTGTCTCTTTGATGAGTTGTAATATGGTGCTACGAATGATAAAACTCACTGACGATGCCGACTACGAGGCCGGCGAAACGTCTGGGAATGTACAGCGTCCACGGTCCGACTTTGGATATAATTATGCATACAATGGATTCGGGACAAGGTGCGTTCCTATAAGTCTTCCTACCAATATGACCAAGTTGCGTAAACAAGGTTAAATAACTTCTAAACGTGTTTAAGGTTTAACTTAACAATATACAGTGATTCCTTAGCACATTGCCAGTAAATTTATTCTGTCACTTTCTTATGTTCTCTAATTTGTTTCATTATATATATGAAAAATCCTCTTGGATAAATTAGCACGAGTAATATATTATTAAAACGGCTAGAACTTATCGTTTGGGTAAAATGCTTTTATTACCCATTCTTCTAAGTCGCTTGCTCCCTTGTTCGTCAACTTCAGGTAGGTTACTTCTTCGCTTCACCTGAGCCGCTTTATTTGTTTTTGAAGGATTCAGTAAATTAGCCTCCACAGTCAACGACAGTCCTGATGATAACTCTCTTAGGCTCTTCAAATATTCTTTATCTTCTTTATCTGATAAGTGTGTATTAATTTCAGTCTGTGCACCTTCTACGACGGCCACAGCCGATAGAATATCATGAATCATAAATGAGGACGTAGCAGATACCGATGGAAGTGATAAGATGGGCGTAACAATGTTGTTGCTGATAGAAGCCCCAGAAGTAGATGATGAAAAAGGAGAAGAGGATGAAGAAGGAGAAGAAGTGGAAGAGGGGGGTGATACTAAGTCGAGACTGCTGGCTGCAAGAGATTTCATCATTATTCCGTTAGAATCAGACTTGTCGAGGATGTCCCTTTCCGAAAGCATTTCCGAATTGGATTTCAATATAATTGAGAGACAAGAGGTTAAATTTGTATCAACAGATGCTGTAGAAGACGAATTTGAAGGAAATTGGAGGGATTGCGTAGAGGCTAACGGGCTCGAAGGAAGTGCAGTTGAGAAGGAAGAAGAGGAGGAACAGAAGGAGTTTGATTTTTCACTTTCAGGGGTGCTTGTAGTTAATATTCGTCTTTCAATTTTTTGTGTCAGTATTCCTTCAGCCTGCTCAAGTATGCTGGAATCGGGCAATGCTGCCGCAGACATCACCATTAACATCCCAGTCCCAGTCATCATTCTAGATGATAATGGGGTGCTCCGTTTTTATGAAATAATCACGATGACATAAAAAGGCAATACATTGAGTATTTG